GAGATGAAAGTAAGGGCAGTGATACAAGTGAAAGCAGCATAAGAAAATGCAATGGAAAGTGCGACCATGAAACAGAATTTTCCGGCCATGGAACATACTGGAGGCCAGCTTATTCCGGGCTTATCCACCCCTTTTAGCCCCAAGAATCCCACCGCCGTTGCCGCTGCACAACCRGAGATACTCAACACCATCATCACCTGCACTCGTTGCATATACAACACTATCAAGTCTCGTTTAGTTTGCAGGAATAAAACGGATTTAAAGGATTTAGATTTCAAATATATTTCAATCTCATGTTTGGTTTATTAGATTTGTCCAGATTTGAAATACTATGACTTAATTGAAATCCTACAAACATAGGATTTTGAAATCCTTAGGGAGTGTTTGAGATTTTACTGGATTTTGTGGGATTATATGAACTAAGGTTTTAAAAAATGTTAAAAACATTTGTTTAGTAATAATTGTTCAATAAAAATGTAATTTAATTATTTTTATAATTTTTATATAAATTATTTATAAATAATGGAATTCAAATCCTACAAATCAAATACACCAATAATTTTAAACTTTTTCCAATTCCAATCGCTTCATAAATTTTAAATCCTTCAAAAACAATCCTACAAACCAAATATCTTTTTGGATATATTTTAGAAATTCAAAGATTTTATATACATTAATAATTTTTACTTATTGTTTTATTACAAGTGTATATGTATATGTGTAATCTAATAGAATGAAAAATTTAGGTACCGTTTACCAAATGCTTACCGGGTAAACGTTTACCAAGTCAATTTACTTTACCGGATGAATATGGCAAAGACTAAGAATCTTACCCGGTAAGAGCGAAAGCAAGAATCACGAGCCTTACCTGGTAAGTGAAGACAAAAAACTCTTACCATGGTTAGCGCTTACCGGAATAAATTGTTCCATACGTGTGTTTTAGTGGATAAAATCTTGCCCGATAAGTAAACGATAGTGTTGAATATTACCGGTAAGTGTTTAACGGGTAAGTGTTTAGATAAACAACCCCTAATTATAAAACAAAAATTTAATTATTTTAACTTTACTTTATATATTTTTTTTGTTGCTGTTTGTGGAAATGAGTCAATTATTAGTTGATGTCTTTAAAAATCTCAAATATATATGTTGTTTGTTTAGTTGATTGATTTTATAGTTAAAGAACGGTAATGCAGGTTTCTAAAACTCTGTTTTTATATTTAAAGAAGGATGAGATGAGCATATTTTATAAATTGAAAGATATTGTATGTATAAATAATTTATACGACCTTTAAAATCTAGACTTGAACCATTAACCTCAAGAAAGTTGAGATCTGCTGGTATCTAAGTACCGTTAGGCCAACCTCTCCAAGAAAAACCCACAAAATCGATATAAATTGGCAAGTTTAGTTTAGTTTGGTTTCAGACATCAGGGTTTTGTTTTTTACTGTTATTTGATATATAAACTTACCCCATCGACAATAAGCAAGTAGAAATAGGATTGGGTATCAGAGCATTTCGTCATCTTGTAAGTGACAATTGACGAGAGTAGAGAGAAAATGCCCAACATTGCATCTACGATAAGCTTGTACCTACATAYCGTCACAAATGTAAACAAAAACATCAAAATAACGTTTAATTGATCTC